GTGTAAGGTCGGAAAGGGGCCTTTGATTGCATTCTAAGATTAGTACTGGAGGGGTATTGATGTTACATTTGGCATGGACTTCACTGGGTGTACATTTGAGATCAGTGCGATTTAGGAGTTGTTATGGTATCCAGTCCGGAATACAATATTGCAGGTTGCAGGGTTTGGGGTCCAGGCTTTTAGCTTCAGAGTACAAGGCCAGGGACTGTGGCATACCGACCATATGTACATGTACAGTTGAAGGGCAGTTTGGCACACGTGGTTTATCATTAACTATTTGTTTCGGAGATGGAGGCCGCGGGAAGCTACAAATGATGGCTTGGTGTGTGATCTCATTAAGGATGGCTACATAATATTAATCAATCAAATCAGCTCTTGATAATCTGATCTTCTCAGGCTGAGAGGCATTTGCGTGGCAGCAGGCAGCTCGGCAGCCAGAACACGGGCTTCGGTTAGCTTCGAAGAGATTTGAGAGAGCTTTGTCGTGGCGGCTTTTCGCAGGGAGGTTTTGCCTTTGGATTTTCCCTTTCCCGGGACTTGCTCTGGGGCTTGACCGCCGGCACCGGGGGTGGCGGGCGGGGCGGGAGGCATCTTAGCAGGCACAGGGATCACCGAGTAGGACGAACTGGCCGGAGCGCCCGGCTGGTGGTAGCTTCCCCTTAGCTAGTGCAACAATCAAGCAACAAGCAGTAGAGGCCTATATGTGTTAAAAGTAATCTGTTAAATGGGCCCATATCCTAGTACATAAGTACACTAGCTAATTATAGACTGTATAGTGACCAGGTAGGTGTTGAAAGTGATGAGAGATCCTATAATTGGGTGGAACCCCGACTGCCCCAGACTCAATCCCATAGAGGAAGTGAAGGCTTATCCGAAATCCATCCAACAATATGTAAAACCTGCAATATTGGAAGTCGCGGCACACAAGAGCCCTTGTAGCATCAGCATCGAGAGTGCCCTCTGCCCTGAACGAATGCTCCTGCGTGCTCGTCTCGTCGTCCTCGAACTCCATGGAGTCGTACACTTTGAAGCATTCCCACTCCTGCTTATGCAAGGCTCTGTACAAAGCATTATGTTGCAAGTGTGGGCTCATGTGTACTTAGAGCAGTGTACACCACTACCTATACATCCTAAACTTTCACTATATCCATGTTACAATGAAAACCCTCCCAGTTTAACATGTCTATATATATACACATCTTGTTGGATATACACGATACATGCTTCGCACATAAGTGTGTTTGTTATGTTATATTATATATATATATATATGCAACCTTACTATATATATATATATATACATATTAAACCTAGTATACGGTCTAGATATGTTATTATAGACATGTGTGGACGTATATCTAGTGACTGCTTCGACATCGATGTCCTCGCTCTCCCCCATTTCTGGATGCGGCCACCACCATTCGGAGCCCAACTCCTTTTTTTTTTCGCGGATTGCCTTGGCACTGGCGCTGCCGTACAGTGCCTTCAGGTCCCGAAACGTTTTCATAACGTATTTTCCGCGGCGTCGTTGTGTTTTGGAGAGCTTGGCGTTAAAGACGATGCTTGAGTTGTCCCAGTTTTCGGCAGCCTGGACCCACTCTTCGAAGAGTCTCGCAATGATTGTTCGATCTGAGATGTGATGCAAAACTTCACCCTAGAAACTTAATGATAACAGAACAATATGTCATATTTGCCCTCATACCCCAGAGGAAACGAAAGGCTATACCAATTCGTGATTTTCGTCAGGTGGCTGTATCGCTTCCCCTTTGCCGCCTCCAGCACAGGCTGCGGGCAAAGCGGGCCTTGCATCAAGAGTCGGTTTTAAGCCAATCTTGGTTCCAGTTGGGTTGGGCTTCCAGGATAGCATCTGGTAGTGTATGCTGTTGTTGCTGGCATAGTGGGCTACATAGCGGCTTGGGATAGCACATTCTAAGCCGAGGTGTTTGTTTTGTTTCAGCTGGTTTACATACATTATTGAAGCTAAAATACGATTAGCTGATAGTGCATAAACCACCGGTACCAATTCTTTCAGGGCACTGTCGAAGCTCCGATTGAACCTCATCCGCATGTTGTGAGCAAGCCTTCGGTCCTGCTCGTCCGGGGTTTCGTAGGTGCCGTCGGCACGTTGCAACAGCAAGCCGTACTGCATCATCTCTTTCAGCGTGTCTTCCTGTATAGCAGGGATCGGGGTGGTTGCACTTTAACGATGATTCCATGTAGGTTATTATAAGTATTCCTGTATACTAGAATATCCAGGTACTAGTTTCTGCTAGCACTTTGAATCGGATGCCGTCTGGAATATTGCTACTCCAACATGTACTGCAATTACATGCCTCTCCTCTTGCTGCTGCTCCTGTCTGCTAGCTTTATAGGTATGTGTATGTATATAACAGATATGCCTATATATATACATACAAACAGCATTGTAGTCGTACATACATCTGCATGTATATATATATATATATGTATTCTATATGTACAGATGTACACATATATATATATGTATATATATATAGACATATTTACAGGTTTACTACTACTGCCACGACGACCACTAGTGACGAGGGCATCCAAAGCTGCTACTGTGTTACAAGGGAGTCATGGTCAAGGCTGGTCTTTACATACAAAGATTGCAGGTTTAGGTATGGTGCTCAGTGTCTCACTGATAGCATACATAGCTAGCCACATCACCCCTCTGCTAGTATGTAGCTGGGTGTATGTTTCAATATGGGATCCTTATACACTTACGGCGACCCCCTAGCAGCCTGAAGCACGGTGGCATCCAGGCGCTGAAGCCCGGTCCGCGTGAGCTCGAGTTGAAGCTGCACAGCACGATCAGGAGGGGGCGGGGGCAGCATTCCACGTGGAGGTCGCTCCTCCTGCTAAGCATTAAAGCCCAAACCTTATGGTACAATAAATATATTATATGCTATAGGCCTAGGGAGGTTTGTGGACACGTATGCAACATAACCCCTAACTTGTGACGGTATATATGTATGTACATGTGTATGCACATTGCAGGTGTGTATGTACATGGTACATGTACATGTGTGCACACCATCCCATATAGTAGGAAAATATTATGCATGCATATATGAGTACCCAGAAGAATATCTCTCTCTCTATATTATATATATATATATATATGTATATATGCTACATGGCACATACGGGCATGCAAAAACATACACCTGCATATGGAGGCACCATGTTTCAAACCATGTCCTTGGCGGGGTGAGCCGAAGCAGGGCACACATCCATGGGGGATGTCTGGATCGTTCCCCCGGTCCCAGCTGCACCAGCACTGCCCGAGAGTGCCAGGGTTTCCATGTGCTGCTCGACCTGCAGCATCATCGCTGCAACAATCTCATCCTCAGTCTTTGGCCTGTCCCGCTCATACAAAGAGCGGGCAAGCCTCAAGAGGCCACCCACTGTCGCCTCCGCCCTCTGCACAGCCTCATTGATCTGAGCATCTGTGGCTGCAAGCTGGCGTGCACCTTCATCCAGGATCCCCTTCTTCCATGATGCCATTTTGGCCGCGATGGCCTGGCTGTGGGAGGAAACCCCTGCGAGGCCCGTCTGCACCACTTGTCCGAGAGCCTTGGCCACAGCTTGCTCCACGTGCTCCATCTTCACGTGATGCTGCTGCTTTTGGGTCTCCCTAGTCTTCACCAAGGAGCACACGGTTCCCCAATCATCAATGCATTTCTTCGCCATGCTGCTAAACTCATCGTCACCCGGCCCTGCATGGAGCTCCACGTTCTGCAGATCCTTGATCCACTCCACCACTAGATCAGCCAGGTCGAGCTTGCTTTTCGAATCATTCTCATCTGCACCATCACCGAAAGCAGTAAACAGCTTGTTCTGCAGCACAAGGGCTTGCTCCGGCAAGTACAGTGGCCCTGTTGGCTTGAGAGGGGTGTCCATCACCATGGAATCCAGCGTGTAGCAGCGGCCCAAGGTCAGCGTGGTCATGGTGTCAAGACGGTGCACTCCTGATACACAGCAGCACTTCACTGTTTTGCAAAACACCATATACAGCAATCGTTTGAAAGTGCACTTGATCAGCATCATATTTTGACACATATAATAAATACACATGTTATATACTTGACGGGTCTAGCAGCTGTCACTGGACTGCGTGTGCTCCACCACGAGAGGTTCTTGCTTGCTCTGCTCCACGAGAGGTTCTTGCTTGCTCTGCTCCACGAGAGGTTCTTGCTTGCTCTGCTCCGCCACGAGAGGTTCTTGGTTGCTCTGCTCCACCCCGAGAGGTTCTGGGTTGCTCTGCTCCGTCACGAGAGGTTCTTGCTTGCTTTGCTCCACCACCTTGAGAGGCTCTTGCTGGCTTTGCTCCACCAGCTGTTGCTCCACGATCTGCGGCTCCACCAGGGTATCAGCCTTGGTGTCATGCTACAGTACACAACACTGCCATGCTACAAGTTGCGTTTCACATTCGATCAAAATGCTTGGCTAGGAGCAACCTCTAGCGCCGGCATGAGGTTGCGAGGGCTAAGCTGTCCAGGCTTCTCCGGGGAAGGAGGCTTCACTGGGACTGGTGCCTCCATTGCCAAAGTGCCCTTCGAGCTGGGTGTGCTAGGCACAGGAGGCAAAGGCTGGGGAAGGCCCTCCAAGGCCATCTCTCGAGCAGAGGAGCCCGAAGCCTGCGAAGCACCTTGCTGCGACGGGGCCTCCAAGACCTCTGGCGAAAACTGGCGGGATCTCTTCAGGTCAGGACTCTTCGTGGCGGGTGTCAAGGCGACCGCCGCCTGTATCCCCGAGGAGTCCCTCACTCGTTTTGCCACATCCTGCAGTTCCTTCTCCATGTCAAACGAATCTTCTGCGGCATCAGCCTGAGCAATCTCAAAAGGCGTGTTGTATACCCACAGCAACACCACATGCCGTGTACAGTCCCCTATGTGTAGTTTCCATATATTCCACACACAGTATATTATATACGTGTATATATACATATATATATACGTGTGTATATATATATACATATATATATATGTATGTATACATAGGTCCATGCACACATATGCATGTACAATAGACATAAGCTTAAGCATAATGGTTCACGATAGGTAGAAGAACTCGGACCACATGCCAAGTTTTGTTTTAACTGGGTTGCATGGTGTCGTGGCATAGAGCTCTCTGTGGGGCCTAATATAATATCCGGGGCACCTACATGTATATGATTGTAAATTATTACACAGTCCTAGCCAGGGCCTTCAGGGGTAGAGTATGCATACGACGTAGGTCTATGGTGGCGAAAGTAGCGACAATGGTACACATAATGCCGGCTTGTAGCTGTGCTTCCAGCATCTGCAGGCACACGTGCAGACATGGCTCAGGGTAATCCTCAACCCTTGTTCGAATTGAAAGAAGCCTGCGAACCCACGGTGAGCCCCAATCGGAAGCAATGCCCCTGACGAAATCCGGCCGAAGCCTCTGAAACTGCCTCCTGTAAAGCCCTGGTACTGCAGACCTCGAGAAAAGCTGGCTCGGAGCCAGAAAAGGCAAAGTAACGAAAGTCACGCCCAAGTAACGCCCCGCACTCTCCAGGCACGAGCACCGAACGGAAAGTAACGCAAAGTAACGCGAAAGTAACGCCTCACTTTTGCCTCCCTCCTGCAGGAAAACGAGTCCCGAGCCGGATTGCCCTGCAGACAAGGCCAGAAGTGCTGGTGGCTGCGAAAGCAGTCAAGGCTGTCCCTGAACCCCTACAAAATACGGGGAATAAAGTACATTAAGGCCTATTTTAAGTGGATTTCCTCGAGGAAACCTAGGTATTCCTTTACATATGGTTTCAAAGGTATGGTTTTTGCTAGGAAATACAGCACTACGGGGTGAAAACCTATTATTTCCGGCAAGTAAAACCACTGGAGTGTGTTTTTTCATAGGAAAATCACTACTCCTAGGCTTCCTTTCAGGGCTTCCTCGCAAAGCACACAGAATCCCTGGGTTTCTCCGCCTGAACACGAGGTTTCCGGAAGACGAGTCTGGATTCTGCTAGGAATTGAGGATTCTGCTACAATACAAAACTCCTAGCTAGGGGGGACAAGTGCGAGACTCCTCCTACCCTACCCTATCTGCTAGGAATTGAGGATTCTGCTTGTATATATACAGTGGTTTTAGCAAGGGGGACAAGTGCGAAACTCCTCCTACCCTACCCTACCCTGCCCTACCCTAGCCCACCCTACCCTACCCTACTACCCTACCCGACCCTACCCTAGTACCCTACCCTACCCTATACCCTAGAGTGGCCATGAGAAATGACGAATTTCCTGGCAGGGCAATGGGCTAAGATGTAGCTTTTGCTGGCTTTAATTAGGTAGTTGCTGAAGGGGACTCTAGCGGGGATGTGGTTTTGCAATAAGAACTTAAGATGGTCCGAGCTGTTCTAGCACACAACATGTTAGCCCCAAACCCTTAAAGCCCTAAATCATCCCATAGACACACCACACGACTCTGAGCTGCTCCTGTATCCCTGAAGTATGCTGGAAACGTTCGGCCCCAACCTGCTCCGAAACCGCTGAACTTCGAACTTCCATCAGCCCACATATGCATGGCCCGACACTTAGAGCCTGAAGCAATGCCCTGAAACCCGTGCTATAACCAATATATATTGCCCGTACCCTTGTATTTGCCCTACATTCTAAACCACGAATTCCCAAAGCCGAGGCCCTCGCGCCCTAGTCCCGGATCGATATTACATACCACCAATCCCAAAGCCGAGGCCCTTAAACCCTGTTCCCATTAACCTTTAAGTAGATAGATAGATCCTTCCAGAGGGAGTTGTTTTTTTTCTCTCTCTCTCTCTCTCTCTCTCTCTCTCTCTCTAATGTTCGCATCAAGAGCAAGCGTTCTCCAAAACACGTCGACCGATCACGGAGCTTCTGGACGACCTGTTGGACGACGTGAAGCAAGCGGCGAGATGCGAACTGGGGCGACATCACGAGCATCCGGGTCGCGTTCGCAGCGTCGGCGGCTGTACTCTGCTGACAAAAGCCGTCTCTTCAGCATCAAGCCGTTGGAACACTGATCGATGTCAACTCGAGATCTTCGCATGGACGAGCATCATTGGACATCGGACCGAAGAACATGGTTCCGCTTTGCATCAGGAGCAAAGACACAGCCCGCCCCAATCCACCCACACCTCACCCAGAACCTCTAGAGACTTACGACAACACACATTCGCAATAGAACTAATCCTCAGGCTCCAGTCTTCTGTGCTTTAAAGTAAATGCAAAAGTGGACCCAGATTCCACCCCACCCGAAGCCTGAAGCCCCACTTGGATTCTGCCAGATCTGATTATTTCGTACATCGAGACCTCTATACAACCCCGGCCCTAATACGATTCCCTCGAGTTTCCTAGACCCTAGGCCACCGATACAACCCCGGCCCTAATTGTGCAATTCCCTGCTGAGTTTTCCTGCTAAGCCCTGACCCCTAATACGGCCCTGCCCCCAACCCGATTCGACTTTCCTAAGTTCGAGACCCCGCATGACACCCCTGGACCCCTAAAGCGATTGGAGCAGGTGCAGGAAATCGCATCAGAAGCTCCTGGGCAGCCTTTACCAGATCTGCAGTCTGGCAACCATAACTTCAGCGTATGAAGCTTTCATACTAAGCTTGGGTTTGCCGCAATATTTTAATATTATATTTATAATGTCAGACGGTATAGAAGATTCAGATATATTGGGCTTCGTGCCTCGCGCAAGAGGTCTCTAGGGTGTTCAGGGGTTTAGGGTTTAGGGCTTAGGGTTTAGGGTTTAGGTTTTAGGGCGAGGGCTTTAGGGGTCAGGGTTCAGGGGCTTTGGAGGATTAGGGTTATAGGGCTTAGGGTTCTAGGTCGTGATCTACGGATTGAATCACAATATCTTAAGCTCCACTCTTTGGATGCTGAGGCTAGCTAATGCCCACATAAAGCTTCATCGTCTGGAAGGGTGCCCAGTGCACTGACCACTGCCGTCTCATTCATAAGATGCCCTAAGCCTCAAGCCTGAAACTAGGAACCACACCTCCGGCCTCTCCCCCAATCCTCCAACACATGTATCTCGTTTTGTCCCTGCATATATACATAAATTTCAGTGTCTGGTGTATATATATATATATAGGTGCAAATATATATATATATATATATATATATATATGTATATGCACATACAAATATGCATATATATATACTATCCATGTTTACATGTATAATAATATAGTACATGTATACATATATACACCAGACACTGAAATTTATGTATCCCCGGCCCTTTGGTTCTCCGAACCCTCGTCCATGCAATTCTTGCACTCCAAGCTATTCCAGTCAAGAACCCTTAATGTATACCACAGACCCATGAACGAGCCAGCAGCGGTGCAGCCAAATCAAAACGAAGGCTGAATTAAGAAGTGGACTTGGCATAGCACCAAGAGTCGAGCCACTAGCAAAACAACTAGCGGAATTGCTCCTACATTAATATCCTCAGGCTCGCTGTTGATAGATTGTCTGGCCAAGGGGCCTCGTTTGGGTAGTTGCTAGACCAACTAAAGGATGTGTCAATATGTATGAACTGGTAGCTACGGCAGTGTAGTGCGAGGTGACTGCAATGGACACTGTAGGCCTGGGCTT